TGTATGCAGTGTGTGTGTGTTGTGTTGGTGTATGCAGTGTGTGTGTGTTGTGTTGGTGTATGCAGTGTGTGTGTGTTGTGTTAGTGTATGCAGTGTGTGTGTGTTGTGTTAGTGTATGCAGTGTGTGTGTGTTGTGTTAGTGTATGCAGTGTGTGTGTTGTGTTAGTGTATGCAGGGTGTGTGTTGTATTGGTGTATGCAGTGTTTGTGTTGTGTTAGTGTATGCAGTGTGTGTGTGTTGTGTTAGTGTATGCAGTGTGTGTTGTGTAAATGTGCAATCTGGGGGGGAGGGGGAGGAAGGGGCATTTTAAGATTAATTTTTAATTAATTTAATTAAATGTTTCTCCCCCCTCCCTGCTTACCTGTGTCCATGGAGGGGGGAGATTCCATCTGTGGTGGTCCAGTGGGGGTCCCCCCGCTCCCTGTCACCGTCCACAGAGGGGGCCCAGGCAGCACACAGCTTCTCCTCTTCTAATAACTCTCGCGAGACCCGCGGAGCGTTGCCATGGTAACCGGGTCTCGCAAGAGTTATGAGAAGAGAGAAGACAGGAGGAGAAGCTGTGTGCTGCCTGGGCCCCCCTCTGCGGACGGTAACAGGGAGGGTAACAGTCACGGTTGTCACCCCCTGATGGCGGCCCTGACTGAAGTAATTGAAAGTGAGAGAGGCAGCCACTTCACTGGGGACATTATGCAATGTATTCAGCAGTCTGAGTGTGTGCATGAATTCAGCAGTTTTTGTGTGCATGAATTCAGCAGTCTATCTGTGTGTATTCAGCAGTGTTCATATGCTTGTACTCAGCAGTCTGTGTGTACGTATTCAGCAGTCTCTGTGTGTATTTAGCAGTGAGTGTATGTATTTAGCAATCTGTGTATGTATTTAGATATGGAGACACTAAGGGACACTAGGAAAACATTAGGGAAGACTGGGAGACTTGGTGACACTGTGAGAGACATGGAGACTCTGTGAGAGACATGGAGACTCTGTGAGAGACATGGAGACACTGAGACAATAAGGAACAATGAGATACATTGAGAAACTAATGGACACAGAGAAATGGAAACAATGGGAGACTAAGGGACACTGAGAGACAGGGAGACACTTTAAGACAGGGAAACAGTGGCAGGAGAATCAAACAGTAAGTAGTTTTTTGGTGATTTTACAGAACTTTCTCTTATGTCAGTCCTTGTGATTAAAGGGAAACTCCAGTGCCAGGAAAACGATCCGTTTTCCTGGCACTGGAGGGTCCCTCTCCCTCCCACCCACCAATCCCCAGTTACTGAAGGGGTAAAAACCCCTTCAGTGACTTACCTGAGGTAGCGGCGATGTTCCTTGCCACTGTCTCCTCCTCCGCGATGCTCCTCCCTGTGCTTCCGTCGGTCGGTGGGTGAGACTGATCCCGCCCACCAGCCGAGGAGACCTAATGCTTTCCTATGGGGATTTGAGCGACGCTGGAGGTCCTCACACAGCGTTTCCTGTGCTATGAAGCAGGAAGTTCCCTCTAGTGGCTGTCTAATAGACAGCCACTAGAGGTGGAGTTAACCCTGCAAGGTAATTATTGCAGTTTATAAAA